TTGGGGGTTATAGGTTGCAGGGAGTGGGGAAGGGTAAATGTCATTTTTTTGACGTTGGTATATCTTAAAACTATACTAAGTGACATATAAATCCGAACACCCAGTTTAAATGGTTTTATTTTAATAAAATTTTGTATAATGAAGCATAATAAGTAAATGATAAACATTTCAAAACGATTGCACTGCTTTAAAGCCCTTTGACCTTTAATAATGTGTGGATGCACCCTGATGTGCTACGCATTCTCCAACGCGCCTAGGCATGCTTGTGATCAGGTGGTCAATGTCCTGCTGTGGTATCTTATTCCAGACAACCACCAACTCCTCTCGAAGTGCTTCTAGAGTCTGAGGAGGACGTTGCAAATTTAGCAATCTCCTACCCATCATATCCCACACGTGCTCAATTGGGGATAAGTCGGGAGATCTTGGTGGCCATGGTAACAATGTGACATCATTATGTTGAAAGAAGTCTATTGTGACTCTTGCAACATGTGGTCGGGCATTATCTTGTTGGAAAGTTGGGTCTGCCAGGGTGTCAAAATAGGGTAAAAGATGGGGTTCTAGAACTTCGTGGATATAACGCTGCGCGTTCATGTTACCTCTGATGAAGATTAAAGGTGACCTGGAACCATAAGCTATAGCACCCCAAACCATAACTCCAACAGTGTGATGAACATGTCTTTCAACAAAAAACTGTGGATTCCTCCTTTCACCACGTCGCCTTCTAACCCTGGCACGACCATCGTGCATGCCTAAACAAAATCGAGACTCGCCACTAAAGACAATACTGTTCTATTCCTGATCCCAGAGTGACCGTTGTCTGCACCACTCAAGGCGATTACGTCAATGTTCTCGAGTTAAAGGGAGGACCCAGTGTGGCCGGTATGAAAACAAGCCAAAACTTCTCATTCGTCGGTAAACACTTCGCATGCCAATAGGTCTTCCGTGTTCTGCAAACCATTCATTTGCAATGGACCTGGTAGTGGAGAAACGGTCCCTTAAGGCCAATAATCTTAGGCGGCGATCTTTACGGTCTGTTGTTCTACGGCGGCGTCCAGTGCCCCTTGCTCTTTGCGTACGGCCTTCTCGAAGCCATGCCTGACAACACTTCTTTGCACTCTAACTGCAATTGCCCGAAAAGAAAGTCCAGCTTCCCGAAGTCCCACTATACGGCCCCTATCAAACTCACTAAGTTGACGAAATCGTACAGGTCTCCGTACTCTAGGCATCGTAACCGATCGTAAAGGATGTCAAGAACCAAAATCCGCCAACGTTGATTCTTTACTGCGGCTGAAATATTCATTTTTAGAGCGTTAGTGAATTAAAAAAAAGCAGTATAACAACCGGAATGTCCAACTGATAAGGCTGAACATTTTTTCACTTGTTATTTACAGTAAGATAAATACATTCACCAACTTTTATTAAAATAAAACCATTTAAACTGGGTGTTCGGATTTATATGTCACTTAGTATACAGGGTTATCCAAATTAAGTGTCCACCATTAGTAACTTTGTTATTAGTGAAAATACAAAGTTGTTTGAATTAGCAAACTAGTAGCATTTTTAACGCTGGTAAAAATGAGAAATAAAAAAAACAATTGAGAGTCGTTATTTTGATTTTTTTCAGTAAAATAACATTTTTTTAAATGGAAACCCCTGTATATTATATTTTTTTCTGTTAAAGCATCAAATTTTAAACAAAAAAGTTCATAATGACTTTTCCGCTAAAGTCAAAAATAAAGTCAAAATAACAATAAATATTTTTAATTATTTGCAGTATTATAATATTAAGACGGCTATGAAAACAACATGGCGTTCGCGATTTGACAGCATTAAGATAAGCGACAAATTGTTAAACTCGACATACTCGCAACTAGAAGGCTTTGGAAAACAATGATAAAATCAAATAATGTCAAACATTAGTGTAAATACTTGTTTATAAGCTTTATTGTGTCATTAATTTAAAGAAAAATGTTCGCCCATGAAGAAAAGTGTGATATGTTAGAATGCTATTTAGTGTGCAGAAAATCCTCCTTGAGAGCAAGAGAATACTACAGTGAATTATATCCCGCTCGCATTCAAACGTATGAACGATATTTTCTGAGACTTTATCGAAAATTTAGGGGCAACGAAAATGTTTTTGCTAAAACAAGGGCAAAAAAAGAATTCATAATAAGCGAGGCCACGGAAATTGCAGTTATTGGATATTTTGAAGCTTATCGTGAGAATTCAATAGCAGATATTCTCAAGGACTCTAATTTCAGTTATGGTACTGTTCAAAGGATTTTAAAAAAATACAAATTTATTCCGTATAAGTACCGACCAGTTCAAACGCTTTTGGCAGGGGATCCAGAGAGAAGACTTGTTTTTTGCCATTGGTATCTTAGCTTCTGTCGCCAAAATGTAAATAACTTTCGTTACCTTTTATGGACAGATGAATCAAATTTTTCAAATTCTGGAATGTTTAATAGAAAAATCCACCATTATTGGTCAAGAGAAAATCTTTTGTTAGTACATCCAAGAGGCCCACAAGTCCGTTTCAGTTTCAACGTTTGGTGCGGTATAATTGGTTCAAAAATTGTTGGCCCGTTCTTTTATGAGGGAACCCTAACTGGTGAAAGATATGTGGAATTTATGTCAGAAATTCTGACTAATTTCTTAGACGAATTGGATCTTATAAGTAGACATCATCTGCATTTTCAGCAAGATGGCGCACCTGCCCACAACTCCAGAGGTACTTATCATTTTCTAAGTACTACTTTTAATGATCAGTGGATAGGAACAAATGGCCTAATACAGTGGCCTCCCAGATCACCAGATCTAAACCCACTTGATTACTTCTTGTGGGGTTACTTAAAGAACCAAATTTACAAGCGAAGGTACGATAACCTTGACGCGTTAAAGACTGCAGTTAGGGAAAAGATAACCCAGATAGATGGTAGGACCATACTTAAGACAGTTCGAGCAGTTGAAAAACGTGCCCAAAAATGTATTGAAGAACAAGGTGGTGTTTTCGAGCATCTTCTTTAAAAAAAATTGTTATTGTATTTTGTAAGATTATAAGTTGATGTTGAAAATAAAGTTTGTCGATACAATTTAATTGTTTCAGATTGGAGGCCATAACTTCAACAATTTGTAACCTAGGAGAAAAGTTATTGTAAGCTTTTTTGTTTAAAATTTGATGTTTTAACAGAAAAAAATATAATATACAGGGGTTTCCATAAAAAAAATGTTATTTTACTGAAAAAAATCAAAATAACGACTCTCAATTGTTTTTTTTTATTTCTCATTTTTACCAGCGTTAAAAATGCTACTAGTTTGCTAATTCAAACAACTTTGTATTTTCACTAATAACAAAGTTACTAATGGTGGACACTTAATTTGGATAACCCTGTATATTAAAAGTAGTACGTAAAAGTAATGGGCAGCCCGTTCCCACTGGAAAGTAAGGTTGGCACGTTACACTTATGGTTTTGACGTTACTAGAATAGAAAAAATCCTTTATCAGTACTTTTATTTGGCACTGTCTCATATAAACCCTTGTTTGTATCAACTGCAGTGTGGTAGGTAGCTATTTCTCAGACATCACGATGCATCGACTCGCATATATCGGAGTCTTCTTCGTGTATAGGTATCTTCGTGAACTGCTGCAGTCTACAGTCTGCAGGTTTACAACCAACCACAATGGGCGACTGGTCCATAAATTTAGAGGGGCGACATCAAGTAGCCTCGTATCGCACACGCCCGTCTGCAAACAAAGATACTGTCAACCGAACCAGGGGCGTAACCAAAGGAAAATGCGTCAAGTTGGTTGACTGTCGCTTCCTCCCACATATTCAATTTTTATTCTTGAGTTTCCAAAATTCTTTGCTCATAGTTCGTAAAATACAGAGCGTTTTTATCCTGAACTGATATTAAAAGTTACGAATGTGAGAGATTGTGTCCTAGGATTTGTCATTTAAAACGGAGTGTTTTTTGTTGCACCATAGATTAACGGATTCTGTCCTCTATCCAACTAGATGCTATATTGCCGCGTCCAAAGAAACATCTAAGATATAATGACCTTAGCGTCATCTATAAGAATTTTTCACAGCTATTTCTTAAGTTAGTATAGATACCTTGAAATGTTAGTGTCTTATAGATGGCGCTGTCTATATGAGCGTATACAAGCTATAGCGCCATCTGTGAGACATTAAGTTTTACAAAGTATATAGGGAATAGAGAAACAGCTGTGACAAATTCTTACAGATGACGCTATGGTATTTCTTTCTATCTCGCATAGCTTCTTAGACGCGAGAATATATCATTAAGTGAGCTATGTTCAGGTCGGGTACATTAATCAATTGTTCCCCCTTTCATATATCATATCTCAAGTTTTCAACTTGTATCTAACAAGGTTATACCTTAGGAGGTTTTTATACTGCTTTGAGTCGATATCAGTTTTCTTATGAAGTGACAACCAAAGCCCCTCTGAAGGTTGCTGTAACTATATGGCATTTAACTATATGCTGTAGCTTTATTTTGGATGATCTTAAGACTACACTCTTGTTAGAATATCACCAAAATTACCGTCCATAATTGGGAGCAGATTAAAATATCTGATTTGTAACCAATTATTTTTTTTAAGAGGGAGGTTGAAATTTTGTTTTGTTTCGTGGTCTTTCCAACAGATTTTCAATAAACATTGTGATTCTAGTAAAGACATGGTATAAGCAGTTCTTAAAGAGCTTTTACTTATGTACATAATTGTGTTGTTGGTGAAACTATCGTACTCCTTGGATATACTATAGTAAATATTTAGTGAAGTATTCTTAAAATTTTTCATCCTGATCAAATGACAATATTCTGCTACCAAATAGTAGTTTCTGAGTATTTTTACCATTCTCTACGAATTCGAAGTAGCAAATCTTGCCAAAATTCAAATGCAAATTTCACACCAGAGCTATAATGTAATAAGGTTTAGCTTGAATCACTATCACTAGATGTCTGCATTTTTGTTCTAGATATGTCGAGGGGTGACTCATGGGCAGGAAGAACATGCTGTCCCCTTCCAGTAAGCGAGAGCTGTAGGAAAGCCTGTATTACAGCTACTTCCTCAGCGGATTTAACCAAAGGATGTAGGCAGAGCGATGAAATTGCTTTTTATAACTGTTTGGATCGCCAACAAGGTAAAGTTTCATAGTAAACATTTCAATATACGTATTTATACCATAGCCTATCAAATGACTGGCCGTGGTAGATTACGGTACGCATAATTGCTGTAACAAAATTTAAATAAATAAAATTAGGATATTAACTGTATATCATCAGTAAGTAGAACAAATCATGAAATCAAATGTGAAAAAGTGGTAAGATGATATGCTCATTTTCAATGCAAAATTTCATAACCGCGTAGGTACATGATTTACATTACTAATGATCAAATATTTAAAGTATTTGTTAAAAAACAAGTGTTTCACCAGTCAAGTTTTTGAAGAATTAACTTTTTTGAAAAACTGACTTCCAGAAAAATGTTTATTTCCAATAAGACCGTCGATACGCCACTGGTTGAACTATAGGTATGGGATCACCAGCTGCAGACTGAATTATTAAAACGATATTACTGTATTTCTTGCATTTGACCTCAGTCCATAAAAACAAATTATTTAAGTCAAACGTAAATACTTCCTCTGACAAAGAAGTATGGTCGGTGATGAATGATCTTTTCATTTCTAGAAAAATGCAATATTAGAGATATCGCTTATGGGATATTTGAGATATTGTTTTGGATTTTCAAAAACGCTTTCCGCACAAAATTTTGAGCAGATACCGAACCTTCGAATCGATAGAATTGATAAAGCAGTCTCAAAGATTACGATTAATGAAAGTCTTTTAGAAATTATATCAATTATGTATATTTTTTAGCTGGCGAAGACTGTTGTAACCAGGCAACAAATGAAGACTGTCATTCCGCTTGTACGGATGTATTTCGCAGTGGGCTATCATCCCCTTCGAAACTTTTACGACAAAGGCTAAAAGATGCCTGCGAATTAAGCAGTCCCAAAGTTACCCAATGTGTCAAAGAAATAGTCAAGCTGACTCCGGTCAAAAATACCGAGAAACGTGAGTGAACATTATCTAAGGAATACTGTTATTATTCTATTCTATTATTCAGTACTCTACAAAATTGAAACCAGAATTCTTAAGTGGCATTACATAAAAGAAATTAACAAAATGCTTGATAAATGGTGGGCGCGATACGTTATTTTCATTGAAAAATATTTTATCTTTGTATTATAGGTAGTATACTTTTAAATTTGCTAAGTACTGAAGCAATCTAAGACTGTTTGCTTAGAACATTTTCCAAAAGGATATATGGATAACTAATTTGTTCATACGCTGTAGAGTAACTCCAAATAAGGTATAATATAAGGTTAAGTACATCCATTCACCTTGCACATTTTTGTGCAAATTTTGAAGTATATCGAAAATGGCTCGCTTCAGTCATTTGCTCTTATACAATTGTCACCTTAGAAATACTTTATGGTCATGTTTGAAGAACATACGTTCACGATTGCATCCCTATTTTTTTTTTTTTTTTTTTTTTTTTTTTTTTATATATCGAAACAGCCGCGCAGGCAGAAGCCTAAATGCCGGAACACCGCGGCTGCTATGATGATAAAGAAATTCTGTTAATACGATTTTTGAACTGCCCAAGGTTAGTAGAACTGGGAAAAGCTTCCTCCCGTAGATTGTTCCACAATCTAGACACCCTCGGGACAAAGGAGCGGTCGTATCGGCCAGTTCTGGATGTACGAAGTTTGACACGGTTAGGATGGGACGCCGAAGTCAGGCGGGTCTGTCTGGCAGGCACATCGCGCGGCGGCATCATGGAAGAGAGCTCTGAGGAGCAAAGTCCGTTGGTGTAGCGATAGAAAAGAGCCAGATCGCCGACGGCCCGCCGGTGCGAAAGAGTTCCGAGACTGTCTGTTAGAGAAGAGTCATCGATCAGTCGGACCGCCCTCCTCTGGACAGCATCGAGCATGGACAATGTAGTCGGGGCGGCAGCACCCCAAATGTGTGAGCAATACTCGAGGCTAGGCCTTATCTGGGCCTTGTATAGAGTGAGAAGGTCATGCGGAGAAAAGTACTTCTTAGCCCTAAACAAATAGCCTAGCTTTTTCCCAGCAGCTGCAGCTATTGAAGAGATGTGTTCGTGCCAGATCAGGTCCTCGGTGATCTGGACTCCGACCAGCCGAAATGAATGGCTCTTTGGTAGAACTCGACCGTCCATCGAAACTGTATGAGCGCTAGGACGCTTTTTGTTCGTCAAAGTACAGTACTGTGTTTTGGAAGCATTGAACTGTACAAGATTGTTGCGTCCCCAAGCAGTGATAGCCTCCAGGTCTCTTGTCAGAGAAGAAGTCGTCGCTAGTCTTCTTTTTTCCAGCTCAGCGGCAGAGATCGACTTGTCACTCTGAATTCCTGCATGCAGAGTGCTGTCATCAGCGAAGCTGTGGATTGGGTTGATCGTGCAGGAAAGGAGGTCGTTGATATGTAAGAGAAACAGAGTTGGAGCCAAGACCGATCCCTGGGGAACACCCGCGTTGACGTTGTGGGATGAAGAGGAGAATCCGTCAATTACGACGGATATCTTGCGGCCAGAGATAAAGTCAGCCACCCATCTGCAAAGCTTTTCTGGGAGGCCGTAGGATGGAAGTTTGCTCAAGAGGGTAGCGTGCCACAGCTGATCGAACGCTTTCGTGATGTCAAGAGCAACGACATAAGCCTCACCATGAGACTGGATGAGTTTACTCCACAGTTGCGTGACGTAAGCTAGGAGGTCCCCTGTGGATCGTTGGTGCCGGAAACCGTACTGCCTGTCGCTAATCAAGCTGTGACGTTCGAGGTAGTCCAGAAGCTCGCGATTTATGCACCTCTCCATCACTTTACTTATAACAGAAAGCAGAGCTATAGGCCTGTAGTTGTAAGGGTCGGTTTTAGATCCTTTTTTTGGGATGGGCTGTACATGAGCAAATTTCCAGTTTTCTGGGAAGGTGCCGGATTCATAAGATATCTGGAAGAGACGCGAAAGAACTGGAGCAAGCTCAGCTGCACATCTCTTCAGTACAATGGCAGGAATCAAGTCCGGACCAGAAGCTTTGTTGATGTCGAGCGACAAGAGCACTCGTCTTACGGTCTTATGCCTGAATGTTACCTCCCGCATAGTGTGGGGAACCCTTTGAATTGACGGCACTTGGGCGTTGGTAGGGACGTCCATGGTGGAGTTGGCAGCAAAGATCTTGGCTAGCACTTCCGCCTTGGCCTTTGAGTCGAATACAATAGTTCCATCCTGGCACGTAAGTGGTGGAAGGCTACTGTGTGAGAAGTTCTTTTCAATCTGCTTGGCCAGCGTCCAGAAAGACCGACTACCATTGCGCTGCGACATTACCCTGTGCCTAACTTTTATATCATGCTGGGTTTTGGCATTGCGAACCGCTTCGTTATATTTGTTTCTGGACTCGACGTCGGCTTGTCTATTCTCTACAGTGGGGTTTTGTAAGTAGGTTCTGTGGGCCTTGATCTTCTGCTGGCGAGCAGTGTCACACGATTTGTTGAACCAGCCGTTGGACCCTGGTTTAGGAACTTTCACTGTGTGTGGGATGTATTCCTCCATTCCGACGTGGATAATTTCGGTTATTGAAGAACAGACAGTCGAAGCATCCGCGTCAGTGAAACAGACATCTCTCCAAGGAAAGCTAGAGAAGAAGCCTCTGAGCCCCTCCCAGTCGGCATGTCCGTAATGCCAAGTTTTGCGGCCTGTGCGAGTTTCTGCTGCCACAGCGGCTTCTGACCGAAACCTAACCTCCACAACACCGTGATCTGAGTTACCCAGGGGGGACAGGACAGCAGTGCTGTAAGGGGCAGGATGCGTGGTCAGAAAGAGATCCAGCAGGCTACTGGCGTGTGACGAGACGCGGGGGAAAAAAGTAGGGCTCGTCACCAGCTGGGTCAGCCCTTGAGTAAGAGCGAACGCTTCGACTGCACGACCTGCTGCATCGGTCTTATTTGAGCCCAACCAAAGCTCATTATGGGCATTGAAATCACCGAGAAGAACTACCTCTGAAGCGGGGTGATTGATGTTCAGGAAGTCGATCTGGACGGCGAGGTATTCGAGTAGGTCATCCCAGTTATGGTTCGAGGGAGAGCGATAAAGGCAGCAAATAAATTTGGGTGATGTTTTGGAGTTGAGGCGAAGCCACAGAATGTCCTTCCGGTCTGATTCCAAAGAAAGATCCCTGGAGCAGGAAAGACTGCTGCGGACAAAAGCCACAACTCCCCCGTTCTTTCTCAGATTGGAGTGCACCTCGTAGTTTGGGAAGTTGAGATGGTTGATCGGTGCAGTCTCTGAGATTTTTGTCTCCGCCAAGAAAAGCACGGCGGGACGATTGGATTGCAGGTAGTGATGAACAGCATCAATGTTGCTGTTGATCCCGCAGATGTTCGAAAAACAAATTTTATCTTCGATGTTGTTCCCTCGAGCCCACCCTCCACCCGGACATTCCGAGAGTGGAGTGAGTTTACGTCCGGAGTTTTTAGTGCTCGAGGGATCCATCATCATTAATTTCTTTGTTTTGGTAGATAACCGACTGCATAGCTTAGGTGTGGAAACATGCGGACATTTATAAGACACCCTGGGAAAAGCTAGCGGGTGGTACTGCCTCGGTCGACTGGTCCTTGTCTACCACCTTCTTTTTACGTGTTAGTGATGTTAAATAGACCTTAAGTGGCCCGTTGGCGGACTTGTACCGCCACCCGGCAATCGGTACTGAGGTATTCCTTAACGCGTGCGCAATCACTTGGACGGGAAGAAGTTGTATACTGGATACAACGACTTCCGGAACAAGCATTTGCCACGGCCCTCGCTCAGTAGGGGGGACGATTCGTACTAACACTGCATTTCTTTGCGAATTACTTAATTTGTTGTTAGTGACATTTATATAGGAATTTTAACACTTGTACGTTTAGGTGTGATGAAGCAATTTGATTCAAGGGTAACCATTATATCCCGATTAATGATAGGAATCATGAGATTTGTAATTCTGCAATTAAAAAAACAATGGAAAGTAGCCAAGCCTTTTGGTTAAGTGAATGTCGATAAGAGACATTTGAGAAAGAGTAACTTAAATATGACGATCCAGATTTCACAGTATGCTATGTCAAATTCCTTCTTCTGATAAGGAATTTCAGAAAATCGTATAATATACAATTGAATTATAAAAGCAAGTTTGGGTATTGTTAGTTCGTTTTAAATCACCCTGTAGAGAACCAAGTCAGAAGTATATCGTTGCCTGTATTTGTTGTAAATAACTTTCTCAGTTATATTTTAGATTATAGATTACACAGTAAAAACGCATTCTGTATGTGGAATCTCTGATTTTAGATTTACAGTGCTGTGATAAATCAAACAACATGAAATGCAGGGAGGCATGCAAACAAGTGTTAACCACAAAAAATACAATACAAGAAATTATTGATGGCCTGTACACGGGCGGATGCGGATTACCTATGCCACAGGTAAATCGTAGACTTACATCTATGTTTATTTGAATTTAAATGACTTGCATGATAGTTGCAGCTGTGAACAGGGTTGTAAGTTGTGATGTGTCACCCACGTAACGACATATTTATTCAATCTTTTTTATTATCCCACTTATACTACAAAAAAAAAAAAGAATTTTGTTGATAGCTTTTTAGGAACAGTATCAATTTCAGCACATCACTTATACTTGTTTATCGCGTAGATCACCTAACTGACTGCTGAGCTGCATTTTTCACAAACAGTCACCCTGTACTGAAAAGGGTTATGAACAATTAACCCTAATGATTATTTAACATCATGGGTTATGTAGAATATTGTTCCATTGTAAAATCCTTCATATCCTAAAGAATTCCATCCAAAGTTGAACGTAAAATAAGTGAGGGTGAAACCAATTTCATTTTTATTGCCGTTGACTCCTTTTTCAGAGCATGATTTCTTTTGGTTTGATGTGAAATGATAGTGTGACATTGTTTGGTGCTATGCTTCTGGAAGAACATCAATTTTTCCAGAAATTTCACTTCTCATTAAAGGCTCCATAAGAAACGTGTGTAAATTTTTGAATGTACTTAGTTTCTACTGGTTTATACGCTGTCCTCCGCATGATGGCTCCTAAGTTGTAGCCCCTCGCCAATTAATTATATTATGTTATGATGATATCTATCATTCTGGAAATATGTAAGCAGCACGTGGTCAGTCCGACGCAACAGTCGGTTGTAGAAAAATTTTGTTCCATATTCGAATGCCATTGATAACATATTTACCTATTTATTAGTCGATAGTTTTCAATGAATTTTAATGAGTATACTTTTAAGGAATATTTCTGGCAATGCTTCCTGAAACCAGAGCTAAGCTCGCCTACAACGTCTATGGAGGTATCGCGAATCGACAAAGTAGGAATGGATAGTGCCAAATGGCATTGCTGCCAAAGAGCTAATTCTTCACAATGTGCCAATTTATGTTCTAAGACCTTCACAAAATTTTGGGCTACTTCCTGGGATGATTTTCACTATAAATGTTTAACTCAAGTCACTGAAGAAAGCTTGAGATCGTGCATTGATGAAGGTATGATTTTGACAAATATCCATATCCAGTGATGATATTCAAATTAACAAAACTTCTTACATTTGTCTCGTACATCTTATGAACGACTGAATCATCGGGTCAAAATATTACACTTTTTTTAGTGGACGAACCGTGTGAGCTAGGTTGTGATGGACTCAGTTTCTGTACCAATTTCAATAACAGACCCACTGAGCTATTTAGGTCTTGTACATCACAGGCGGATGAGGCAGCTAGAAATGATGTTGCTCTTTGGCAAACACAGAATAATATAACCTTGGGTAAGTAACAAATATTAATATGATCTATCACTAGATATACTATTCGAAACTTCTAAAAATATACATAATACTATACTTGTATCTTGAAACAAGAAATATTGGAAGGGTGTATCTCATTCTCAAACCTTTCAAGTTAGTTTGACCTCACTTGAGTGAGGATATATCCTGAATAGGACGGTGCTTATTTTAGCATCTCATTGATATATTATTTCTTACCTGTATACGACAATAACTTATTGATAATATTTAATTTTACGAAATTTGTTGTAGGCCCGGGGCTGACCCTTCCATTAAGAAGCATTTCAAACTGTTCTCCAAATCTATGGAAGGCCGTAGCATGTACTCTTCAAATCAAGCCTTGCTCAAGGACATCACATGCCAACCAGATTTGCAGAGATGTATGCCTACAAATCTTGACGGACTGTGTGGACTGGACAAAACTGTCTCCTATATATTCAGCTCATTCTATTTGTGAAGGACTGTCGCCTGAAGATCCAGATATCTCCTGTTTAAGGTAACAATATCAATTTTTTATGTACTGGAAAAAGTTATTTTTAAACTTTTTATTATCAAATTTGATAAGACAGTAATGCACCATGTTCGATATAAATATCCATCAAATATGCTCTCTATTCGTCATTGTCTGTCAGAGCGGTCCGTAGGACCTTTGCTCTTGGATGAAGTCTTGTAAGTCAGTCGGTCTGTCAGGTCTGGTTACCCAGATACCAACGAAAGTCAGGTAGAAAGAAGGGAAGAAGAAAGGAAGGAAGGAGGGATAGCAAAGAAAAAACAAGTGCGTCAATTTGAGGGGTGCCTTGGCCTTGCTAATTAGTATTCGGCAATTGGGATTGGTTGTTGAAGAAAAATCATAATTTTAGTTGGGATCGCACGATTTAATTTAGTTCATAGTGCGATTCGCACTCTTGTGTGCTTTTGAACTTGCTCGACTGTGTATTCTACTGACTCGCGCAACAAAGGGCTCTTATGCGATTCCGCTGGACTATAACGTAGCTGCGCTTGTTGTTTGATTTAGTCCGTTAGGTAAGTGATGTCAAGGTCTCTGTGAAGGGTCTCGTTGGAAACATACCATGGGGCGTTAGTGATTGCACGCTAGGTTCTGTTCTGCAAAACCTGCAGGCTACGCAAATGCGTTTTGGCGAGAAAATACCAAGCCGTACTTGCGTAATCAAATATGCTGTGGAGCGCGTACGTAACATCAAAAAGCTGGGTGACCAGTTGACTATGGTCTTAATTTGGAGCTGCCGGAAACTGTTTAATAGGTCTAGTGCCCTTCTGAATAGAATGCCCATAGAAGTTTGGGTATAAAACAAGCTGATTCTTAGGAAGGATTCTAAAAATTGAAAGTGATGCTTAAGGTTCTGTAACAAATAATGAAATTTAAGCACATTGCTTAGAACATTCTTTCCCCTACATCAGCGGTCTTCTTCTAAACGTATTTTATTATAGACTCCAAAGGTATCTGTATCCTTCCACGTACAAGCATTCAAGAATAACAGGAGAAGTTTCAAGCCCTTGTCGTGGAAATCCTTGCGAACCAAATGAGATATGTTTGATAAACAGAAAGTGCATCCATGGAATAAGCTGCAAGCCTTATATTTGCCAGCCAGGATGTAAACTAGGTAAGGAGTACAGCTGCCTGTATCACATTTGTTCTTGAATGGTTTTTCCTTCAATACTCATATCTTTTGCCTTGACGTATTGTGTACTTGATTTATTTTATGAACAATTATCTGAATGTCAACCACTTTTGAAACTACATATTTTATGTTATATATTATACTGAGCTTTATTTTTCACCAGTTTTATTTTTATTAATGATCAAATTTTGATGTCGTGATGCAGAGTAACATTATTAAATATCATTCTTTACTAAGGAATTAGTTTTTAAACCATTGTAGTAAAACCCCATTCTTAGGTAGACAGAAAGCATGAATTCCAGCTTTGGCCGCTTAGTTTGATTTGGTGTTCTGACGGTAATATAATTTTGTTCATCAACATTCACTTACATTTTTTGTAGGTGAAGTGTCACAATACATGGTTCCTCATGGTACACAAGTTAGGATTCCCGTAACCAATAACAGAAAAGGATGGCTGAAAATATGCTGTTGCAACATCAATAAAATCGAAGAATGTCAACATCTTCCAGCTATTACTCTTACATCTTGCTTGTTAGGGAATACTCAACAATTACATGGATCTAGATTCACAGAGGTAATATAGAAATTGCGACTACTCGTTAAAAATACAAATATTTGTGTTTAGTGATAACTATATGTTGATGTTTGGCATATTTTAGGATTGCAATCAGTGCAGTTGCTATGCAGGTGAAAAGATTTGCAGCAAAAAACAATGTGAAAATTCAGCACTCAGTGGCAAAAATGCTGGGTACACAACGTTGCCATGTAACTGTCCACCACATTATGTGCCAGTTTGTGCAAGAAATGGGGTCACCTATCCTTCTGCATGCCTAGCAAAGTAGGTTGTTAAGAGTACAATTAAAAATACGCTAGACAAATCGTCATATCAGCAATATAATGCTATGCACAATTACATAAATAGACACACTGTTAACACCTCTGTCCGCATAACACAATGAGTTTTTCGGCAGACTATACCTGCTCTCTGGTTGCTTCTACACGAGTAGACCCATGCCGTACTGATGATAACCGAAACGCATGGAACAGCGTTGTATATTTAGAATAAGTGTATACCAGAGGCTTAGGGGCTTTCTGTCAGCTTTCATTATTCATACTTAGTCAATCAGTGTAATTTTCTCTGCTCACTGGCAAAGTCCTTTGACAGTAGTTTTCTCAAAATCCTCCATTCTTGTTTGAGGGATGTGTACAAATGAATCAGCGGTTCAAACTTCGGAAGCATTCTTGTCGATTTCATGTTAGATGCAGATCCATCTCTGCGCTTAGCACGGGAGCACCTTATTGATGAATGCTAAAAAGCATGAAACAATATTGTATGCGGTTGGTCGTGGTTACAGAGGCGGAAAGCAAACATGTTTAGTTCAGCCATAACTTTTATTGTTTCAATTTTTGATAACATAATGTAAGTATTTCATTTTAGGTGTGCGGATTTAAACGATGGTGAATTTGAACACTACCCTTGTCGAAACCCCTGTAAAGCCAACATGTGCCCCATCGGACAGAAATGTGTGCCAAAACCGCAGATTTGCTTGAGCTTAAAACATAAACCTTGCATACAATATGAATGTAGTAAGTTACTCTTTTAGGACGTTATAGTTATAGCGTAAACATTGAATGAACCAGTCTTTGGAATTTAAAACACGAGTAATTATAAAATTTAACATGAATCAGAACATAGTGTAGCTAAATTTATGATTCTCATCTTTCCAACAATTCGTGGAGAAAATGCGCATGTATGTAAAACCTAATGTAACATCTGAATCTCATCCTGTGGTTTTCTTGCTGAGAAAGCTCCATGTTTGTCTGGCCAAATAAAATCCCATCTAGGCCACGTTTGACACTGAGCACCATGATTCACTGCATAGATGCTATTCTATGCTCGTTCATACCAAGGCTATGTGCCATATAAGCGCTTGATTCCCTACAATGTAAGCATGGTCATATAGAAGTTGCTTTTTACTGACGTTTGGAGCAACACGGTGGCCTTTTTTCAAAAGAACACATTATTGTCATTGTGATCATTGTTATCTTGATCTGTACTTGAAAAAGGCCATCGTGATGGCCGAAACGTCAGTAAAAAGTAATTTCTACATATGTGGTTTCATTTCATTCACCAAATTATACAGTATTAACGGGTTTTTTCTTTTTTTTTTCATACACTGACTGTACTATTAGTTTTTATTTTGTACAAACCCAAACACAAGTGCAAACTTTTTTTGGGTGCTTTATGTTTATTGTGCACAATATTTGATATTTACTTGTATTTTGTGACAATAAACATTATTATTATTATTATTATTATTTGCTCAGAAAAACGAGCTTTTGTAAAACCTGGTCTTTCATGATGTCTGATTTTCATGAATTTTGTTGAATGATCTATCAATGAACAAATACTTATTTAACTCTGTTTATTTTTTAGTTAATGGTGTCTCAGTATGCTCCAATATGCCGTATGATCCAGTTTGTGATGTAGAAAACAATCAGTATGATAACTCATGTTTGCTTGCACATCACAATGCAAAGCTAGCATACAGAGGACCTTGTTTGGAAAAATGCAGATTTCGAGGACAGGTATGTTATACTACGATCAATGTTTTAAAGTTTTATCAAATATTCATGCAATAGGCGGTGTTACCACTGGTTGTTGATTGAAGTAAGTGTATCACTTTTGCAAATCAAATTAAATCTTACAATCACCGTTCTTACTAAACCATCTCGTCTATCATCATCTTTTGTTTGCACTTGGAAATACATGTCGACGTAAAAGTGGTTGCATAAGCCACGCTTCTCTAATTTAAAGTCGTGTTCATTTACCTCATTGGGGTGATTGATCGTATGGACATCAAATATGTACATCTATTTTGGAAAATGGTGAATGTGTACGGTCACATACGGACATCAATAAATGATGGAAGCGCTTGCTAGTATACACGCAATGCAGCTTGCACATCCACCATAATTAGACACTTAATCAGATTGATGGGTTCAGCAAACGATACTCTATTGTAGGAGTTTTTCATAACTATTTCGGGTTTGATGGACCATAAAACTGTCAAATCAATACTAACGAATAATATTTTCATTCTAACAATATGGATATCTGAAAAAATGAACTATTTTACAATCACGATTCGATTTTTAAATTAAATCAAGCGGTGGCGTAGTGGTAGGCGTTATTGGTCTAATAATCAGTTACCGTGCGCTGCGTGGATTGGAATCCCGTCCCAAGAGAAATTTTTCTCTTGGCTATTGATATTGTGATTGTCTGTATTTGGTAGATGGTCTCTGACTGTCGAACGCGGAGGTACCACCCGGCGGATTTCGTATGCCCTCGCTAGAGCCCGTGTCGCGTCCCCCCTTTTCCTTGTATCCCGCTGTAGCCCCTCGGTACTCCATGGGTGTTTAGGCCTTGGGGCTTCGTGTTGGTTCGAGTATGGAAAAAAGAATTTCGGAAGAAAATATACTTGATTGTTTTAACATAGGTGTGGGAGTCGTGTTGTATACATAATATTCTCCAGTTGCCCCCTCAACTGATGTGCATTATTCCACTGAATGTTCCAGTGAGCGTTTGTTTTGGTTAAAATCATTAGTTGTCTTCGGGTTGTTTGAATATACTTCATACGAATTCCCACAAAAATGCCAGAGCCAGATTGAGTCTCGCAAGCCAGCGTACATCACCGCTGCGAAAACGCGTGGCATTAGGAAAAAGTGTATCTGGCATTGCCAACGTTTTTCTTGTCGGGTGACACATGGCGTTGTCTTGTTGAAATATTACATTGTTAAGATGCAAATTCTCCAGCTGGGGCTATATCAGTGATAACGTTCGCCCTGGACATTTACCGTTCTATTACCGCAATTTTCATGAAAAAATCAGAGTGCGCTTTCCTAGAATGTTTGCTAGGTCGCTGCCGTAAAATAAAGCAAAATAAATATCCGCGTAAATAGTAAAATGTTTTGTGAATAGCTAGGTCGGACTTGGTTGACTTTTATACATAAATAATTAATAATCAATTGGTAAAAGCGGCATTTCGTTATTCAACCAACTCGAAAGTTCCAAAAAATAAAGAAGATGGAGAAAGAAAATATAATTCAGATTTTCAGCACTCAGAAGCCTTCGAGGTGGAATCTAATTTGATGACCAACTTTTACTTGTCATGCCACTGGCGAGAGAGTACTGTAAACGCAAAAAATGTTAAAAGGCGTAGCTAGGGGCAAATAGTAAAAAAATAGAAATCGTCAAACCTGTTTTTTTTAAGTTTCTGAGGTTCCTGGTCATTTTCAGAAAAAAAATTAGAAATGAATAATTGAGAAATTGAGGTTTTGGGGTTATAGGGGTTGGAGAAGGGTTATGCCAATTTTTTTACGTTACCATATTTAAACGTTTTCAGCCCCGGTAATCCTACTCACCTGTTAGACATATTTCGATAGATTTGCACGCGTTTCTGCATACACCTGCGCTCCGACAGAAGGGAGGCTGCGATAGCTAGCGAGTAACGAGGTTTGTCATAGCAACGTTGCCAGATGATCGGTACTGTTGCTAGGACAAGGGAGAAGTTTCTAGATCGCAACGCTGTCAAATAGATGATGGCGACTGTGGACTAATTGTATGGGCCTGTTTGACTGACCTGATACATTCCAATCATTAATCTCAATCTTTGATAACAGGTATGCGGTTTCAATGGTCAGACGTACATGTCAGAATGCGCGGCACACGCAGATATGGTATCGGTTGACTATGAAGGACCTTGTATGGCTGTAGGACTAATTGGAACAGTAAAAGCTCAGCAGTGTGGTGGCGTCAAGTGTCCCAAGTTACCAGATATCATCTGCATGGGTAAGCCTTTGCATTGTCTCAGCTTAATCGGACAGCAAAGTAGATATCGGATATCCCGGCACCCTGTTTCAAAGCAAAATTACACTCGAAGGTGGAATCATATACTATAGACGTGACTGCCGGAATGTCAGTAACTAAAACTATTACAGATTCGAAGTAAATTACGAGTATATATGTTTTTAGGTGTATACAAGAGGCTTGTGTAGCTTTTTTTTTTAATTAAAATGCCGAATAATTTATATTTCCCCATCTCTCGAATATACTGATCTTCATATAATGGAAAAATTAAGTGTGTTACTTTTCAGGAATAACACCGCCTGGTGCATGTTGCCCCGTTTGTGGAGGAGCTCTCAGACTGCTGTATTCCAGGAAACAAATCGACAGAGCTTTGTATGCCCTCCAAAACCAAAGCACCGAATCTCTCAACCTAAAATCTTTACTAAAAGCATTGGAACGACAAATTCAAATAGCTCAGTGTAATTTGAATGGATATCTGACTGTGGAGTTAGATATCTTTGTTTTGGTGCAGAGTACTGAAAGGTAAGGTTATATCTAAAACTTTGATTACATCTATTCTGAATTTATTAAAAACTAGAACCAAAATTACCTGTATCGGAAGTCTGGGAGAGCAGAGGGGAAATTGAACATTCAAAATATCAGCTACACGCACAACCTAATGAGACCTTGTCACACTTGTAATGCGTACTTGTTAGTGTTTTTTACGCTCGCATGACGGGACGGTTATAATTGGTTCGGTTTAGATTTGATAGTGAAAGGTACTTTTCGGTGCGAAATAACTAAAATAAATGATTTCTTAGTTACACCTTCATACTTATTAGTAAAAATCGTTCTCAGTTGTACAAGACCGAATGATTATTTTTCTGTACTGATACATCAAATCTTCATGATCTCCTCTAACTTTTTCTTTTGGAAACTGTCAATAAATTCAAAATAACTTAAGGTGCGAGACATTAGCCACGTAGTAGCGGGAGACCTTATCTAAAGGTCAATGAAAGTTTGATAGCGGAATGACCAGTTGGGTCTGCAAATGATCACCAGCGGACTAGCAGTAACGAAATATTTCCGATACGTGCCTCAATAATAATGATTCAAAATTGTATTTAACTAAGAAATGTAATCATTTTTGATTTTGTTGGAAGTATTCCTTATTAAGAAAAAACTATTTTTTCCCATACAGCTTCTGTTGACTTACACTGCAGCAGATTCTTATAAAGTTTGACATGGATCCAAAAATTGATTGAGTGATTTGAAAATGTATCCTTGGGTATATTTGAGTCATTGACCCCGAAATACTAATTACTTTCATTTAATAATTTTGAATATTTTGAAGCTTTTTTAAAACAATATGTTATTATTTTTTGTGTTATGTGGTTGAAATAACTGTCCGCTCCTTCATTTTCTCTCATTTTCTGAAAGACCAAACATGTGTGATTTAGGATACGTACTTTGTACGCCTACGTAACTGTAAAGTTGTGCAGACGGCCTACTTATCAGTACTATGTGAAAAAAGCTATTTCGATTTTTTAAATATATAAACCAACTTAGATCTTGGACAAAATATTCACAAAAGTTGATTTTCGATTTACCTGCCATAGGTATAGTTTTATTATTCAGTGAATGATGCTAATTCCAACGATTTTTATTATCAGTCACTTACCAGAACCATTGATTAAGGTACTCTACCTAACGATATCCAAACTAATGCTATATTCATGGTATAAAATCTGAAATAAAATTAGTAGACTGTAGGGTCACCTATAAGAATTTTTACTGCGGTTTCTCTATTATTTACAGTAAATACTTTGGAAATGTTAGTATCTGATAGATCGTGCTGTCTATATGAGCATTACAAGCTTATATGTGACTACGGCGCCATCTACGAGGCACTAACCTTTTCAAAGTATATATAGTAAATAGAGAAACATCAGCGACAAATTTTCAAGGGTGGAGCTACGGTATCTCACTTTTTTCGAATAATTTTTTGAACGCGGGAATATAGCATTAGGTTGCTATCTTTGGGTAGAAAAATTTAATCAATGCTACAGCTCAGCGTGAAATCTCCTTGCCTCCATTTAGGTATTAGCTAAACTTCATGTCCAAAAAAATAAACTACGCAGAAACTGCATAACATATTCGCTTAAGTCTCGTTTTGCTAATTTTTCTCTACTATCCAACTTCAGACATAAAAAATACATTCATTCTACAACACAATCTATGTGCTCTCATGTGAAAAACGGATAAAGGCTCTCGGACTTGAGCGTTAAGTTTTCGTCGGTATGGATATTTTTGTCTAATCGTTTTTTGTTTTTTTTTATTTAGGAACCCCTCGGATCTTCAGCTGGAAGCTTGTCTGAGGGAAGCTGAAAAATTAGCCAGCCTGATCAACATGCAGAGCCCACGAATTGTTAGCGAGCTTAGTTTAAGTTCGTTAACAGCTGCGACTATAGTTCATACACAAGCTACCGCCGGGGCTAGCACAATTAATTTGAGCGTCAATATTGCATTAATCTTACTGTTTCTTCCGTGGTTTGTCGATATATTTTCATGAGTTTTCTCTTACTATATTACCAAAAAGCGTTCGATGACCGATTTGCGAAAAACTTCGCGATCCCAAAAATTATGCGATATGATCATCAATCTAGATCTTTGAACGAATTCGAATAGACCAGAAGGAGCCAAAAGCCTATATACTTATTCGCCATACTCTTGAGTCATTTGACTACCATTGCTTACTAAAGTGTCAACGTTGTATCAACATGATAATAATACTTACCGGTGAAAAGATCTACCTCCATTAGGCTCGTTCCGCTCTTTGCAAACTATGCAATAAACACCATATCATGGAATCGTCTAATACTACAATTTCCCGCTCTTTGAAAAAATAAGAATTACACGAATTTGATGACAGAACAAAAAATTAACTTATGTCAAGTTCACTTGTAATATGCGCTTTCATCCTGTCTAAAGACTGATATTTTAGAGACAAATGAATTGTAGGCTTGACCCTTCTACGTAGTCTGAATTCGTTGAGACTTATTAAAAAGATCTGAGTAAACATCTATGATACAAAGCATTGCTATTCATTGAAAACGTTGGCGATATATTTGCTCTTTTGAGAATAATCGGAAGAAAGATTGCTTAGCTCAAGTTACTACTTAGTCATGTAGTTATTAGAAAATAACGGTAGACTGTGATATTAAGAATAAGATGCTATATTTTTATTATACCATAGGCTATTTGCAATTTCAGCCCAGGGTTTTTGAATAAATGGTTGCTTAGTCCAGAAAGTTTGGTTGTAAAGTTCACCCTGACGAATATTTTTGGAATGACTAGCTGCAATAATGTATAAGACCGTATTCACTAGTGCATTTTCAAATATTTTGGATGTGCGCTAATATTGTAACTGTATTGGACTTTCACCATATTTTGAAAAGATTTATGGCACCAAATGATAAAATAAACATTGTTTCAATAAATTAGAATAGATATGTATAATTGAGTTGAACTGATGTGTTTAATGTTACCAAAGAACACTGATTTTTATATTTAAGAGTTTATATAATTAATGTTTTTATTGAAAACTAAAAAATGTTACGTTTGTTGAGTATGTAATTCGAGTCACTAAACTGTGTTTCTGTATGTATTTGTATTTTAGAATATATCTAAAGGTGAATTGACTCAATATTTTTGATAAAAAGAAGACACTCTAATTGGATGAAATGAAAATCAATAAACAGGATGTTTCAATGAATTTGTCTTATTTGGCAACAGTCGGTGTATCTCCTTGTGTCATGGTTCCCATCGTTACTGACTATATCCTACAGGTTTCCAACCCTAATTCTAACAAAAACAGAATAAAGCAAAATAATACAAACCAGCATATGCACAATACGCCTTAATTACAATATTACAAAAGTTATAGCGGCAAACACAATAGTTACCACCGTTATCGAACCTGGACTGTCAAATGTCTTTTTATAAAACACATTGAGAATCATTTTTAATCGATCACTTGAAATAAATGTAACTGGATCCTCAAACTAAAATATCAAAGTAGTGTTAGAACTGACTGGACAGAATCTGAAGTTTCGCACCTCCATCTATTGATAGTTTTGTGAGAGTAAGAAGTCACGTATTTTGTATCACCTGCACGTGCTTCTAAAGTCTGATGTATGTGTACTTGTTTCAAATCGGACCTCAGAGACAGACTGCCTTGAGAAAAGCTAGACTCACCTTCACCTACGTTAAAAACTTCCATCGAAGATAAATTTATGCAAATGAAGGAATTTCATGCTCAATTTAGCGAGTAATTTGTACAGGGTGTTCCAATAGAATAAAGGAGCACCAAAATAAGATCTAAGCTAACGCTACACCAGCCAAACGAATATCCAGGGTGTTTTGAAAGTTGAGAATTTCCTTTTCACAAATAACCTACAAGGATAGGACAAGGGTATGAGATTTTCAAATTACGTAAGGCTTTTGCGTGTAATACGCACTCAGTAAGAGTACTCACATCCGTAAGTTCGTTGAGAAAAAAATCATATAGTTCTTTTTAGGAATTTTTTTTTATAATTTAATAATACGTTATGAAGCTTTTTCTAATGTATTTGTTTAGTGATTTAAGTTCGTATCTATTCAAGAAAATGATATTGGTTAAGTATCAAAAATAATATAAATTTACAAATTACAAATTTCTCCATTTGAAACATTCCATTTGAAGTTTGATTGACCTGACCGTAGTAACGGTATTCTGCCTTTAAACGGAAGATTCACACAGACCAAAAGTGTCTCTATACCACTCATTCCTAAAACGTCCTTGGATTTCGTCAGCCGCATTTTGATGTATCCTAAATGACACAGAAAATGCAACACCGATTGGGAGTGCTGTACTTTTGGGCATACTTTTACAAGCTTTAGGTTTACTGATAAAGAGAAAGTGATTAAAATTTTAACTCGAAATTTCTCAAAATAGCCGAGATATCCGACCTTAATGTTAATAATGTGTTGAAGCTCCTCTGTTCGCTACACTCGGTGATTGATGTCTTCTTGATGTATTGTATCCCAGGCTATCTGAATTTGGTTTCGTAGAGCCTCCAATATTTGTGGAGGGTGCGGTGAATCTTCTTTCCATCATGTCCCACACATGTTTGATGGGGAAAAGGTCTGGAGATCGAGCAGGCCACTGAAGCAGATTTACTCCGAGTACTTTGAAAAAGTCTAAACTCTAAACTGACCCGTGTGGCACGAGGTCGTGCATTGTACTGCTGAAAAAGTGGATCTTGCAATGTTTCCAAAAAGGGAAGCAGATGTGGTTGTAAAACATCGTGGATATAGTGCTGGGCAGTCATGCTACCTCGAATGAACAGTAATCATGACCTGCTGCCGTAAGAAATGGCACCCTTTCTTCACCACGTCTCCTCCTTACTCTTGTACGGCCATCATGTGTGCCCAAACAGAATCTGGACTCATCGCTGAACACGAGTGAGTTCCATTCCAGATTCGCTTCAAGTTTCTCCATATCAATTGTTGCCGACGATGCTGTGGGGTCAGAGGTAGTACAAGATGGGGACGGTATGAAAACAGTCCCAAAAGACCTTATTCGCCGATAAACTGTCCCCATTGTTATTGCCCTTGCGACAGCATCAAATCTCTTGTTATGGAAAATCGATCTCTGAGTGCTAGTTGCCTTAAATAACGATTATGTCGCTCTGTAGTCATCCAGTACCTCTAGCTCGTCGATTTCGGCTTTCTTGGAACCACGCTCGATAACATCTCATTACAGTAGCTTCGTTTCGATTCACCCAATTAGCAATTTCTCTAAAAGAAAATCTTCGAACTCTGGGCATGATAATGCAATGAAACAATAATGAAACGAATGGAACCAGCACAGAAAAATTACTGAATATTAAGTAAACATGTTCATATTGTACGGATCCTGATATGACAAAAAAAAAACTTTATAAAAAAAGTACGAGTCTTCGACATTTTATCAGCGTATACTTCCAGGATAGCAAATATGTTACAAGTTTTCATCAAAATATCAAAATTCAATAAATAATTTTGGTGTTGCACTTATTATATTTGCAATGTACTGTTCGTTAATTTGTTCTTGGACTTCGAACGGACGTGTTTTTCATGTGTGTCGTATATAATTTGGATAAATGTCAAGGGAAATACTTCCTGACTCCTAAAAAAAAACAACTTGTAATCTATTGAACAAAATTGCTAAAATAATTCGAATTAAATAGGAAAAGCAATAATGCTTGGTACGCTTCAAAGCTATCTAAACATAGACAAATATTCATGAATGTGAAGAAAGTTTGATTTCGAGCAGAAATTATAAAAAATCCTTGCACTTGTAAAAAAGCTGCATTTATTTGTTGTGCAAATTGTACAAATTGGTGTTTTGTCTTTATGATAATTGTCATTCAGGTTCATATATTTCTGACATAAAGTGATTGAAATAATAATTCTTAATGCTATACAGGGTGTCCGCAAAGTTGGGGTTTTCCTTTACACGACGTGTAGATCTTGAAAACATAAGCAATTTTTCTTAATACCATATACACCAATGTCTTAATGGAACCGAGATAAAGGGCTCTGCAACATCAAAAATATTTGAATACCGTCCTGTAGTAGCGACCCGCCGCGATATCCCCGACTGTTACAAGGTCTCAACCCGACGGCAGAACTGGGTCGGGGTCAGTGTGTCAGGTTAGTATGCAACCTTCAACCGAAGGTTACGGTCACGCGTGTAGGGGTAAACGAACTCGTATAATCGATTGCGTTTCAAAAAACAACAAGCACTAGAGACGTGGCTAGAGAAGTGCAAGTATCAAAAACTAAAGTGTGGTAAACGCTGCGTGAAGAGGCGCTGTATCCGTTTCACGTCCAACGTGTACAAGCCCTTCAACCTGAAGATTTTCCAGCAAGAGTGCGGCTTTGTGAGTGGTTGTTGCATCAACATGACAATAATCCGGACTTTTTGAAGTGCAGATTGGTGACAGATGAATCTACGTTCACGCGTAATGGGGTGAATAACTTTCGCATCACTCATGTTTGGTCATTTTTAACAAACATTTTCGGTGAATGTTTGGGCTGGCATGGTAAACGGTATGCTCATTGGACCATTTATTCTCCCAAATCGATTGGACGGGATGCAATACCTCGACCTTTCACGCAACATTTTGCCTACCTTGTTAGAAGATGTGCCATTAAGTGTAAGACAATCAATGTGGTTTCTGCGTCTGCTCGGTAGCCCTTCAGTTGATTTCATTTTCTGTTGGAGCCCTTCTCGTCAACTGGAGAGTGAGTACTTTTTCCTTTATTTTTTTTTACTTGGTCGCCCTCGTTTCACTACACATTATCTTTTTTATTTCAAGGGTAGTTGTTTCTGAAAAGGAAAACCCCAACTTTGCGGACACCCTGTATATACAGGGTCCCGAAAAAAGTGTGCCATATTCTACCGGCGGTTTCTAGACCTTAAAATAGGAAGAAAAGCTTATATAAACATAGGTCGACAAACGTCCCCTAAGGGCGCTACGGTCTTTTAAAGGGGCTCCTCTGAAGATGGTTTTTCCTTAATATTTCCGAAACTTGTTGAGACAAAGACATAAAATTTAGTATTCTAGCCTAGTTTTTTATGCTGGATCTAAAAATATTAACAATTATAGACAGTTTTTTTTTGGAAGCGTATGTAACAGGGACGGACTCAGGTTATTTTAGCTCCAAAATTTTTGTGTGATTCTATTTTTGAAATTCAATTTTAGAATTTGAAAATTTCTGGTTTACTACATATAAAATGTACTCTTATTGAATATCGATAAATTGTGCCATTTTTGAATAAAAACAAACTAAAAAATTTGTCACATGATAGGAAATGTACTGCGGATTTAAATGAATTGTTGATTATACATAGTTAGCCATGACTGCAAACAAAAGTTGTTTTGATTCGTTATGACTTATTTTGACGTTAAGCTGACATTGCTAGCAGTGTAAAATTACTAGATTAAAATCAAAATTATTATTAAGTCGATTTAAAATGCCAAGATTTACAGACAGAGAACTGACTGACATGTATTTTGTGTACCGGTTTTGCAATGGCAGTTCATTGGCAGCCGTAAGAGAATATCAAAGAAGATTTCCCAATCGCAGAGTACCTGGACGTCGAATGTTTACTAATATTAACCGGAGTTTGTCAAACCATGGAAGTTTTCAGCGCATGCATGGCTCAGGAGGTCCACTGGAAAATCATTGTATGGATATTGCATTAAATATGTTTGAAAATAATCTACAATTAAGCATACGAAATGTTTAAGAAATTATGGATATACCTCGATCAATAGTAAGAAACATTTATGAATACCTATTTGATAGTTATCCTAAAAATAATAATTTTAGATAGGAAGAATGACAAGAATGCAAGGATTACATCATTATCATTTTAAACGGGTGCAGCATGTAAGGGAGGCAGATTTTTTACCACGAATCGAGTTTTGCCAGTGGATATTAGCAAATGAAAACAGTATTCCTAGAATATTATGGTCGGATGAGTCAATATTTACTAGGAATGGTGCTTTTAATTTCCATAACATACATCACTGGTCAGATACAAATCCAAAAGTTGTTCGCCGTACAAATTTCCAACATAGATTTTCATTGAACTTATTCACAGGAGTAATTGGGGATCAAGTAATTGGGCCTATTGTACTTCCCAAACGTCTTAATTCAGAGGTGTATCTGAATTGAATTTCAAAAATAGATCACACAAAAATTTTGGGGCTAAAATAACCTGAGTCCGTCCCTGTTACATACGCTTTCAAACAAAACTGTCTAAAATTGTTAATATTTTTAAATCCAACATAAAAAACTAGGTTAGAATACCAAATTTTATGTCTTTATCTCAACACGTTTCGGAAATATTAAGGAAAAACCATCTTCAAGGGAGCGCCTTTAAAAGACAGTAGCGCCCTTAGGGGACGTTTGTCGACCTATGTTTATATAAACTTTTCTTCCTATTTTATGCTCTAGAAACCGCTGGTAGAATATTGCACACTTTTTTCGGGACACCCTGTATATGTATGAAATGCATTTGATAATATACTTCTTTATAAAAAAAACAAATGATACTATTTACCTATTAAAAAATATTGTATTTTGAAAGCGTTTGTTTTAATTTCATCCATACACGCTTCAAATATCAAAAAGTGTTTGATTTATTGATTCGCTATTCGATAATGTAAATATATTGGAAAAAGGGTGATAACGTATTATCAAATAATAAGAATTTTTCTTTCTATAAAAAACTATATGATATTTTTCCTTGAAAATAGGTGATAGATGCAGAATACAACTTAAGGGTGTGAGTACTCCTACTGAGCACGTATTACACCCAAAAACTCACCGTGTTTCGAGTACCCCACACACTTGTAGTGTCCTTCTTGTAAGTAAAAAAGAAATTGGAGAAAAGCACTTACTTACTGCTCATTTGATAAGAAACATCAAGAACTACCCTGTCACAAGTTGTCGTCG